ATTTGTTCAGATTGCAGGATCAACAAGAGCTTTTACCACATTTTTTGCCTCATGGTTGAATTGGAAATATGTGCACCTGAGCATAATTCACAACAAGCAAGCAGGAGCTTTTGATAGAGGCTACTGAAAACATTGATGCAAGTTATTGGTAATAAGACATTTTTATAGACTTCCATATTCTGCCCTCTTGTATAGATTTGTGAAAATGAACAGTGATAGACATTTTGCCTGAAAACAGAATTTGAAAGTAATTTCTAGAAAAGGTAAACACAGCTATCTGTATGGCTTTGTAAAAATGAACAACCATATTCTGGCCAATTGTATAGATTTGTAAATATGAACAACCATATTCTGGCCAATTGTATAGATTTGTAAAAATGAACATGAACAGATTATTATTTTTTTTACTTTTTTTAAAATGAAAAATAACTATTTTAAACAACATCAACTGTGAACTGATTTGGGCGTGTGTGTTTTAAAGAGACAGACAGGGAGGGACAAAGAGAGAGAGAGGCTACATTACTTGTACTGAAACTGTTCTCTTCTCTGTTTCAATACAGCAAAGCGTTCAATGACTTTCTCATTGAAATCAGGCATGCTGAGGACTAGTTCCCTCTCCATGGAAAGCATGGCCAGTGCATTCAGACGTTCCTGGCCCATTGAATTTCGCAGGAATGTCTTAACTCGTGTCAAAGTTGAGAAACATCTCTCAGCTTCAGCTGTTGTCATGGGAGTAGTTATGAGGATGTTCAACAGAGTCACAGTCTCAGAGAACGTCTCCTGGAGGTTGTAGCTCATGAGAACCTGGTACAGTGCCAGTGCACCACAGCCTCCCTTGAATTCAGGATTCTCATAGATCAGAGATAGTTCTGTCTTGAGCTTTGCCTTGCTCAGCATGGGGTATGCATTCACAGTGGCATTCAGAGCCTCATCAGGAAATGAATGGCAGTACCTTTCAAACATGTCTGCTTGCAGTAAGGTAGCACTCACAAGGTGGCCAGAGAAAGAGAACCTTTCTTTGGTGTGATCCAGGATGGTGTTGCAGACCTCTTCAGACAGCCTCTGCTTCTCCTCTTCTCTCAAAGCTGTTCTGGGTCTTTTGGCTCCTGTTGCTTCTTGCAGCTGCTGTTGAGAGGAGTCCCTGAAGGCAAACAGACCAATGTGTTTGTTGGCTTTGTACAGTATTGTTGTCTATGTGATGCACAGGTATATGCAATGTATCCATGTATAGTACAAATACTTCAGTTCCACTTAAAATGGGCAGGGATGCATAAAGTCTTTAGTGTTTAAGTTAGCCTTTGTGTCTCACATAGCCTGGATGTTCAGCACAGTATACAGTGGTGCTCATAAGCTCATAAGCTTATGATCCCATGCTAAAGTTGACTAAAAAGAGGAATAAAAAAGAAAAGAAAATTGGTGTCCTTAAAGGTTGGATTTTCCAACTTTTTTAATTAAGTCATTAAGATCAATTTCCAAAAGATGATTTTTTTATTTTTGTATTCCTCTTTTTAGTCAACTTTAGAATGTGTTCATACACTTATGAGCACCACTGTACAGTACACATAGTATATAAAATAAGCTAGATTACACCACTGGCCATATATAATGAGAATAATGTAATTTCAAACACAAATGCAGTCTCCTTTCATGCATACATTTTCAAATAAAGCTCTGCTTTGAGAAAGATCGAATGATATTGTTTAATCTTACCTTATGGCCTGCACACTGCTTGTGAAGCTGTCGAGGGCACGTTTGATAAAGACAGCATCGATGTCCTTCTTCTGTAGCTTCTGGTACAGAATGTCGACGTGGGGCATGATTTTGTGAAAAAGCCGCAGGAAAAAAATAAAATCTTCATCATGTAGCATCCTCACGTAGCCAGATGCCTCTCTCACGGTGGGCTGGTCAAATGAACCCAATGAACCCGTCCGAATGGCTTCAAAAAATTCTATGAGGTCGTCTCGATTCTCGTAGACAGTGTTCACGACTCTGCTTAGTAGAAACCTGTTGAATTATTAAATTTGGTCTGGGAGGTCCTAATTGTTTCGTTGCCAATTTATCTTGATTTGTTCGCCGACAAAAAGGAACTTCTTTCAAAGAGACAATCGAGTTGCACTGAAGGCTAGCCATTTTGACAGTAGTAGTGAATTGATTGATGAGGCTACCCGCTCTTTTCTTAGTTACGTTCATGGTTATGTTACGTATGACGAAAGCGCGTAAGTGCAAGCCCTCAGAAACCCATAGAGATTGTATTGAAAGCTCTGATATTTGAAAAAAATTGATTTTACATTAGAGGCTATGAGAGACTTCTGGGCGATTTTCAACCTGACTGAAATCGCCCCAAAACGGGCGGGGACATTTGAAGCACGACTTTAGCCTGATTGGACATTTAGTGGCAGATCAGACGTCTAGATTAGAACACTGATAACTACTGTTGCCGTGATATAATTGATTAGAAAAAAAATCCCTTCCTTTTCCCGTTTGGCAGTGCGTCGCCCATATCGCCCTAATGTCAATGTAAATGTAATTCTGCCAGTATCGGTGTGTGCTAAGTTGAGGGCCTTAAATTAAAGTGATAGAACCAACATGAAGCACTAAGGACTGTCATTCTAAATTTGGTTTGGATAATTTATCAATAGTTATAATTATGATTTGGAAAGGTGAGGCTTCTAGAGACAGAGCTATGCCCTAAATTGTGAGGAGAGCCACTAGATTGTAGCTTGGGCTAACCTTGCGCCAATCTCATTCTTATCAAGGTTGGTGTGAAACTGTTATAACATGTGTTCTCTCTCTTCCCTGTGAAAGTCAATATGCATGTGCCCTAGACCAAATTCGGGAGATCTCTAGAGACGTAGAGAAAATTGGCATTGCTAAAAGAATTGCGTAAATTGGCTCTGCAAAATAGAGAGGCTCTTACATTTACATTTTAGTCATTTACAGTTAGTGTTTTCACACATGTTATCCAGATACTGACTGTTAGCACTTGGTGGTCTATAGCAGCTTCCCACCAGAATCGGCTTTAGGTGAGGCAGATGAACCTGTAGCCATATTACTTCAACAGTATTTAACATGAGATCTTCTCTACGCTTTACAGGAATGTGGTTCTGAATATAAACAGCCACACCTCCACCTCCATCACAATTACAGGACATTGTGATCTTGAACATGCAGGCTCTCAATTACATTTTAAAATAAAATAAATATAAGACCTCGTACTGCCTCGTACAGGATGCTGCACCCTAGTGAGACGAAACACTTCCCTTATGATAATTCCAACGCAGCAACTAAATCGGTCTCAAAGGAGACAGAGAAGTTTGAGCAAACCCAACTCAGTTTCCCTAGGCCATAGGCGATCAACCCCTTGGGACAAATTCTAGAGAGGACTTGTGCCCTGGCATGGGGCCACTGAGAATGCTCATGAAATAGATAGGTTGGGTTAATGTTCTTGAAGGACATCTTAATGCAACCATGCTTGGGTTTAGAGCTGCCTCCGCGGAAATTAAACAGAATAGGTTAATGACTTTGCAAAATAGGGCAGCCTTGGATTATCTGTTGGCAGCACAGGGGGGCGTATGTGCTCTAGTGGGAACTTCATGTTGTACTTTCATTCCAGACTACTGGAAATATCTCCACTGCCATAGAAGAATTAGACAAGCTAATGGGCGCGTTAATGGAAGGAGAGGCTGTTGAAGGTAGCTGGCCTTTTGCATGGCTGACTTCCCTGTTTGGGGCTTGGGGAGCAACAGTTTTCCATTGGCTCATCTATGGCCTAGTAATCCTTCTTGCTGTACTACTTATCATTGCTTGTGTTAAGAAACTTTGTAGCAAAACGGTTGACACTGTCCTCACTATGCCATTACTTACCACTGAAGATGAGGCATCGGAGCCTTACCCCCCAGACTTGTTTCCCATGCCTGATTACATGTCTGATGAAGATGATGCTAATCAAGAGCATCGGAATGACAATGTCAATCTGATGGCACACCTGGTCTGTAGGCCATGCCCACAGCAAGGATTCTGTAAGGGGTGTTCTAAGGAGCTTCATGAGTGCACAGGTGTGTAATACCTTTTGAATTGTATACACTATGTGAAGGTTTTAAGTTCAATGACTCAACGGCGGTCATTCATGTGGATAAGGTCATAGTGTTCGAAAGATCCCTTCCCCAGATGTTTATACTTATATCTGCAAGGCTGAACAATGGAATCCTTAATTCAGACAGGTTACCTTGACGTTCTTAGGCACAGGGACTATGATGATTTGCTTGAAACATAATAATGGTTGCAATTGATATCAGATGTGTGGGTGAATTTAGCGTGTATTGATGGTTTAATGAGAGATCAACTGGTGATAATCTAGTGGCCATCCATTGTTGCAATAGGACCCTTGGCTTTAAATAATAAATATATCAGTGATGCTCCCCTTCCCCGATTCCCTGCACAGATTATGGTCGTGTTCCCCTGCTCATACGTTTCATGCATCAACCAAAGCTTGCGTGCCACGTCTTTGACTGTGCCATCAGGGCAACAGATTGCTATAATATATGATATGGTTAGCTGATACATAAAATACCTATCCAGGCGTTGTAAGAACTGGCAGGCCTCTGGGCAGAGGAACCTGCCCTTACCTGAAGGTTCACATGTCCTTGAGTTTAGATTGCATAGGGCAAGCTGCCAAACAGGACTCCTGCATTGAATATGGGACCGCCCTGATTCTTGTCATCTTGCATCTGATAAAAATATAGGATAAATGTTGGATAGAAATGTAGGACATTGCCCCTGTGCTGCGTTTTTGGGAATCATTTTGATCACTATAAATGATTAACTACAGGCGTTGTTATCTCTCAGATTGAAAAGCCTTTGCTAGCAGCAAATAATGAAATTACATGATTTTATTTTATACTGGTTTCATCTCAACTACTGCATTGCTAAGCAAGTCTAAAAAAAGCATGAGTCATGTCTTTCTTCCAGAGTTCCGCAGTACACACGCGCACACATGCACACGCACTTCGGTGCAGCAGCGCATCCCGCGCCTCACTGCAGTGAAAAACGTCCCATCCACCTACAGCATACACCAATTGCGTCTAGTTATTTTTTTTTAGCTCCCATCAACACCAACGCGTTAGGAGTAGCTGTACGCGTCTTATCGCCATTATAAAGCAGAAAATAAATAAAGGAACGGCTTTCTTGTTCGAACCAGAGGAGGTAAGACAGAATACACACTTTAATGCGGCTTGCTTTGTGAGATGGTCTAACTGGGACATGACGTAGCACATGCCCTTCTTATGTAGCCCAAGTTAGCAGGTGTATGGTTAAACTTACAATAGCCTACCCATATTTATCTAATTTGACGACTACAGAACATTGCAGATATCTATCGGTTTTCTGACTAAAGCATTATGTGCAATATTTGTCAAGAAGATTAACTATAGTGTGGCGATGAGCTCGTCCTCACATGGGTTAAAGTTGTGTGATGATGGCGCAGTACAGAGTTTGGAGAATTGCCTAAATCGACTGCGGTCCTGATGTTGCTCTTTTTTCACCAGGGGCAGACGTCTCAATTTACCTCCCTCTGAAATATTTTGAAGTTGATTGGAACGCAAACATGATATTGATTTATGTTCACGAAGAGTTCTTGATAATTTAGGTCTTATATTTATTTTATTTGTAAATGTAATTGAGAGCCTGCATGTTCAAGATCACAATTACCTTTTATTGCCTGTTGTTCCCAGAGGTCTTAATAACCTTTGTCAAGACAAATGGCAGGTTTCCCCCACTAATGCATATGCATATTTGTTCAAACCATAGATGGCATATTTTACACCAATGTCAATGAAGTATCCCAAATTCCTGATATTATCCTGCAAAAAGATTTCCTGCAGTTTCATTTTAACTCTCTATTATTGCTGGGTTCCTCAAAACACGTACATTTCCTTCTCCTTCTCTTTTCATCTTTGCATACTCTTCCAGTAATTTACTGCAGCTTTCATTCATTGCCTTGTCCATAATTTTCTCAGTTCATTACTGTTTATGTATCCCATTTATGTATCTGCATTTTTTTCAATCTAAAGCCTTGTCACCCTCGACAACATGGGCCTCGAAAGCCAGGACCCCCTGCCTCTCCCCGGCAACCTCACCTCAGGACAGGTGGGCTCCTTCCAGAAGGTGGAGCCTAAAACCTTGGGGGTGAGTGAAGTCATCACATGGACATTCAATCATCAATACAGATGGTTGTGATACACTATAAGGATATGATATGGATCAATAACAGTTACAATTCTGTACTGTAGAATAAAGCATCATCACGTTGCCTTATAATATAATGATAATATGTTAATTTAGGAGACTCTTATATTCCCATGCCTGAATCAAACTCATAATTGTGTCGTGTTCAGTAGGCACCAAATGAAAGAGAACAATGAATCAGGGAGTGATTCCTGGCTTTAGGACTTAATAAGAATAGCTCAATTCCATTTTGCCTGCTGAACACGACTATGCTGTTACCAAACACTGTGCTGTAGATGAGAGTTCTTAATGTATGGTCTCAGGCCGTCCAGATCATCATCGGGTGTCTTGTCCTCTGCCTGAGCGCCTCTGTGTTGCAGCTCCACGAGATCCACTTCACTGGTGATGTCGTTGTCCTTTTGATCGTTGTCTTACAGGTGAGTGAGCCATTGGTGACCCCTACCAAAGATCTAGAATCCGATTTCCCTACCCCCAATTCTAACCTTGACCATTAGGGTGATATAAATCAATCCCAACCCTATATCAGTTAGTAAGGGCAACTTCTACCTATTCCAGATGACGCGTACCAGTCAGAATTTACAGGCCAAGTACCAACTGTTACAACAGCGCCCTCTATAATGGCAGTGTGTCTTTAGGCCAGGTCCGGCCAACCCTCCTCCTGGAGAGCTACCCTCCTGCAGGCTTTCGCTTCAACCCTGATCCAGTACACTTGAATAGGCTTACAGCCCTACAATGGCAATTTTCTAGAATAGATGATTTATTTAGTTGAATCAGTTATTTTCATCTCTGTATAGGTGTGTATTCTGACCTGTGAGTCGTGTCTTATTCTGTTATGGGTGTACTCCCACAGCTCATCCTTTCTGGGTCGGTCCTTGTCCACGCGGGCAGGAAGCCTTCTCTCTTTTGGGTGGGTATAATGCAATTGGCACGCATTCAGCTGGTTACATTTTTTACTGCATTTTTCAACAGTATGTACCGAACAACACATTATCCCGAAATGCTGCATACCATTCTTTGAGGTATGTTTGCTCCTGTTGTGGCAGAGTGTGACCACTGATCTTTGTGAGTGATGTAGGCGATTATAAGAAATCACACAAACCAAAAAAAACTACCTTTCAATGTATAATGTTTTCTGTCAATCTCGGTTTATTCAGTGTATCGGTGTACTCTCTCCCCAGGTGAAATGTACCCTGGTGCTGCACTTGATTAGTGCTGCCTTCTCCACGGCTGCTCTGGGCCTGATGTCCAAACACCTACCTTACCGCCAGGACTCCTACCACTGTGAACACTGCCGGAGACTGGAGCTGCATGCCGTGGTAACCAGTCATTCTAACAGTATACCCTGAATTATTACATCAATATGCATATCAAAAAATATGACATACATTTGCATATAAAAAAATATTACATACATTTGCAAATTGCAAAACATTCTAAAGAAAGAATCTAAAAGAATTACATAATTTTAGAAAGAAACAATTATGTGCAGGCTGAATTTTGATGTAGTCATCATGGTTTAGTCAGCCTTCTTGGTCATCTCGATTGAGTAGCTGACCATGTCACACATTCTCCCCCCTTGAGAGTTCATATGGTCAAAAGACATACAATGAGAGTCACAATGTAAAATTCCCTAACTCATTTGCTGAATTTTATATGATTTTAAGCTAGTTCTTTGAAGCCTTGTCAGTGTGCAAAATGTGTTCACAATTAATTTATTCTGACAAATGTTTTGAAAGATCATTGTTACTATTATTGTTTGAATACATTTGTATCAGTTGTTTATATGCATTTTCTGAAACAATGTTTGCTCAGGACTAGGGTTGCAAAATTCCTGGAACTTCAATACATTCCCTGGTTTTCCAGACACCTGGTTGGAGGATTCCGTATATCCCGCCTATTCCCTACTGATTCTGGGAACCTCCAACCTGGATTTCGGAAAAAAACTGTGAATTTGTTGAAAGTACAACATTTACATTTTTCTTAAAGAGCAGAAAGGTTGTTACATCCAACAATAGCCCATACAAACAAATAAATTGTGTCTTTCGTGGAAGTATTAGTGTAATGCCTTCACTCAAGGCGGTATTCTGACATGAGATCAGCACGCTTAACTTAAATGATCAAAGACTAATGCGTAAGTCTGAGTTGCGCACACTTATTTGCTCAAGATATTATACACTGAGTGGACAAAACATTAATAACATTACGGTTTTTCCATGACATAGACTGACCAGGTGAATCCAGGTGAAAGCTATGATCCCTTACTGATGTCACCTGTTAAATCTAGAAGGTGTCAAAAGCGTTCCACAGGGATGCTGGCCCATGTTGACTCCAATTCTTCCCACAGTTGTGTCAAGTTGGCTGGGTGTCCTTTGGGTGGTTGACCCTTCTTGATACTCACGGGAAACTGTTGAGCATTAAATACCCAGCAGCGTTGCAGATCTTGACACAAACCGGTGCGCCTGGCACCTACTACCATACCCCGTTCAAAGGCACTTAAATATTTTGTCTTGCCCATTCACCTTCTGAATGGCACGCATATACAGTGGGGAGAACAAGTATTTGATACACTGCCGATTTTGCAGGTTTTCCTACTTACAAAGCATGTAGCGGTCTGTAATGTTTATCATAGGTACACTTCAACTGTGAGAGACAGAACCTAAAACTAAAATCCAGAAAATCACATTGTATGATTTTTAAGTAATTAATTTGCATTTTATTGCATGACATAAGTATTTGATACATCAGAAAAGCATAACTTAATATTTGGTACAGAAACCTTTGTTTGCAATTACAGAGATCATACGTTTCCTGTAGGTCTTGACCAGGTTTGCACACACTGCAGCAGGGATTTTGGCCCACTCCTCCATACAGACCTTCTCCAGATCCTTCAGGTTTCGGGGCTGTCGCTGGGCAATACAGACTTTCAGCTCCCTCCAAAGATTTTCTATTGGGTTCAGGTCTGGAGACTGGCTAGGCCACTCCAGGACCTTGAGATGCTTCTTACGGAGCCACTCCTTAGTTTCTCTGGCTGTGTGTTTTGGGCCGTTGTCATGCTGGAAGACTCAACCACGACCCATCTTCAATGCTCTTACTAAGGGAAGGAGGTTGTTGGCCAAGATCTCGCGATACATGGCCCCATCCATCCTCACCTCAATACGGTGCAGTCATCCTGACCCCTTTGCAGAAAAGCATCCCCAAAGAATGATGTTTCCACCTCCATGCTTCACGGTTGGGATGGTGTTCTTGGGGTTGTACTCATCCTTCTTCTTCCTCCAAACACGGCGAGTGGAGTTTAGACCAAAAAGCTCTATTTTTGTCTCATCAGACCACATGACCTTCTCCCATTCCTCCTCTGGATCATCCAGATGGTCATTGGCAAACTTCAGACGGGCCTGGACATTCGCTGGCTTGAGCAGGGGGACCTTGCGTGCGTTGCAGGATTTTAATCCATGACGGCGTAGTGTGTTACTATTGGTTTTCTTTGAAACTGTGGTCCCAGCTCTCTTCAGGTCATTGACCAGGTCCTGCCGTGTAGTTCTGGGCTGATCCCTCACCTTCCTCATGATCATTGATGCCCCACAAGGTGAGATCTTGCATGGAGCCCCAGACAGAGGGTGATTGACCGTCATCTTGAACTTCTTCCATTTTCTAATAATTGCGCCAACAGTTGTTGCCTTCTCACCAAGCTTCTTGCCTATTGTCCTGTAGCCCATCCCAGCCTTGTACAGGTCTACAATTGTATCCCTGATGTCCTTGCACAGCTCTCTGGTCTTGGCCATTGTGGAGAGGTTGGAGTCTGTTTGATCGAGTGTGTGGACAGGTGTCTTTTATACAGGTAACGAGGTCAAACAGGTGCAGTTAATACAGGTAATGAGTGGAGAACAAGAGGGCTTCTTAAAGAAAAACTAACAGGTCTGTGAGAGCCGGAATTGTTACTGGTTGGTAGGTGATCAAATACTTATGTCATGCAATAGAATGAAAATTAATTACTTAAAAATCATACAATGTGATTTTCTGGATTTTTGTTTTAGATTCCGTCTCTAGTGGTTGAAGTGTACCTATGATAAAAATTACAGACCTCTACATGCTTTGTAAGTAGGAAAACCTGCAAAATCGGCAGTGTATCAAATACTTGTTCTCCCCACTGTACAATCCATGTCACAATTGTCTCAAGACTTAAAAATCCTTCTTTAACCTGCCTCCTCCATTTATCTACACTGATTGAAGTAGAGACCACCCCCCGACTAATTGAAGCTGTTCTGAGGGCAAAGGGGGTGGGGGGTGGGGGGAGGGGGGTGCAACTGATTATTAGGAAGGTGTTCCTAATGTTTGGTATACTCAGTGTATATTTTCCTTTGCCATGTGCTGCAAGTTAAAAGCAACGTGTGGTCTATATACAGTATATCTGATTAAAGCAAAGATTTCTCCGTAAAATAAGCATTAAAAACATTAGTTGATTAATTGGTTCAGCACAGCACCAAGCTTCAAACCATACAGTAATGACTGAGAGTATCAGTGACATTGTTTTCATGAGTATTTCATCTACACAAATATGTTTTGGTTTCGAGTCAGGCACTCCAATCTCCACCAAGGAATACTGGCAGACATGCATACCTTTATTTCGGTCGCCAAGTGGATTTTTATAATGGCCTATATTTCAACATGGCTCCCTTTATACATGATTTATGACCACTTTATCAAAAAATATGAATGTACAAAAAAACATCCCACAACAACTCTAAATGTGTCAATTAAGTGTGCAGGCTTTTCTTTTTCTGTCACATCACATATTATTAGTACATATCAGTACCACAACAACAATACTTGTTTAAATGTTATTATTGTTTAAACAAAACAGCAAATGAAAGAAATCATTGATGAAACATGTAATGAGTGTTTTGGGGTTTGGTATTACCCAGAATGATTAAAAATTACCTTTTAAAGAAATTCAGCAAAGGAGTTTAGGATTTTGATTATCATGGCAAGGCTTTGACCAATTTGAACAACATTGTTCTAAACTGAGAAAAGGCTGCAATGAAACAATTCGGCCTGAACTATTTATGGTGGGAGCTATGTCAAAATGGCTCATACAACAAAGTCTTTGACCCACTTTATTCTGTCTGTCTGCATAGGAGGTAGCACCCATACAATTTCTACTATGCTAACACTACTGCTCAAACTTAGTCCTCATATAGAACAATACAAAACCTGTGTGGGATCTAGAATTGAATGTTAATGAAATGTCTATTTTTGATGACACTATTAAGATTTTAATTGATGATATAGTCAATCATCCATTATATTTTTGCCACATTTTAAAGTAACACATATGTAGTAACATATTAAAAGTTGTTGTTTATAGAATACAAACACAACAAATGAGCATCTTATCTAGGTTAATGTAGTTTCAAGGGAAAGTGTAATTGTTCTTCAAAGTGGAACATGTCTTTCTTTGTGTTTACTGTTTACTGCAGCAACATTGTTTCAGGAAATGCACTGGGCTGATCGAAATGAAATGTAAAGTAAGTAGTTGACCACTATTGTAGATATGTTCTGGCCAATGCTAACACTTGTGCTATACACAGTACATGCATGGTAGGTAGCAGTATTTCTGCCTTGTTCATATAGTTACTCTAATAAAACATTCTCCGAAAAGGTATTGCAGCAAAATATTTAAATAACATCTTACCCAATCGTATGTTTAGATAGGTATTAGTTGTTATACATTTTATTCACTTTCATGTGATTGATTATATGGCTATTCAAAAGGCCTAGTTTGACATCTGTTTGTATTATCTTGCTAAATTAATGAATGAATAAGATCTGACATTATAGTTTGCTTTTTGGACAATGTTTTTTTTCCCGCAATTGCTTTTATTTCATGCTGTATTCAAATTATTGCTGCTACTGTAATATCAAGCATTTTTCTCTGGACCACAATACCATTGTCCATCCCTCATGTCTTTCTTCACCTGTCTCTCTCCCGCCTGGGTGGTTTCTTATAGCTCCTGATTGACGGCATCATAGGTACTCTGGTTATCTTCCTTATTCTGGAGCTGCTCATCTGCATCACAGCCATGCTGTTTGGCCTCAGTGTGCTGGCCTCAAGTGGTGGAATGCAGGTGAGCCAACATATAACAAAACACATGGGGAAGGGCATTCTAAAACGCTCCAACACCATTTTATATGTGCAGCGTTGCCCGGGCATTGCGATAAAAACCTGTAATAATTTGGAACACTGCAGGTGGTGTTTGCTGCATGTCTATCTATTTATTTTCTATGGGCCCGATTCAGACTTAGGAAATGTATGCCTTTCCTACGCTTTTTCATTTAAGCACTTCTCAGTATTTGGTATTCAGACTTACTTTACGCAGGTGCGCAACAAGCTCTCTGAGAGTGGCTCCCTTATGTGCACTGCATACATTTAATTAAACCGCTGAAAACCCTCCCACTTGCTGGCCAACAGAGTTTCTCATGGACTTTTAATTCACTGGGGTTTTCAGTTATCTAAATACGGTGCACCTTTAATTATAATTTTCTCGACACTCACTATAATACATTGAGAGAACGGGTTCAGAATATTAGGGATCAATGAAAGAAAGCCATACAATTATAGGCCTATGCATTTCTCAGTTTCAGCACCAATTGGTAAATTGAAAAATTATCTGATCTTGTACATTATTAAGGGTTAAGAACATATTTAGGAATCTACCTACTTAAAAAACAGGTTTGGAGAGCCTTTACGCACAAAATATATTGCTGAATAAAAAATACAGTGGTTTGATTATCCTGAAAGTTGCTATTCAGTTGTTCAATCCATTAAATATTGGAAGGGTTGACCAATAGTCCTATAAATCTACCATAATCCTCACTGATCATGGAACTGATATGACAACGGTCCAGTAGTCGTAAACCAGGCTCCAGGTTTAAACTGCCAGGCTTGGTCTGCGTTCCATGATGATTCCATGTTGATTTCATGAAGTAGGCTACATGTCCCAAATTATTGAACAACTTGTAATACGTTAAATATTATCCACTATTGCTAGCGACCCTCAGGATCAACCACAAGGACGTGACAGAGGAAAGAAAAGGGAACTAATGATGTAATGGAATGATGTCAAATGTAGGCTACAAATTGAAGGGAACTAACACCCTAGTGACAGTTTAAAATGTGTGTGGGTATTACTGGCGGTGGCTATTATTTAACATGATAAAATTGTTTGTTTGTTTACTGAGAAAACGTTGCTGACATTATAACATTCTAGAGCGCACAAAGGTTAAATTGGACCCCGACTGTCACTCTGCACGGATTTGGCTTCTCATCTCATTTGGCTTGAGTCTCCAAGATTCATCCCTGCACGTTATAAGGCCATACAATTTAAATTCTGCATAATGGCACAGCTTTTCACATACAGTATACTGGTGACTTCCTGCTTAAATAAAGGTAAATAAATACTTCACTGTGGGAAAGGGGCACACATAGCCTACCAGTCATGTTGATTTGCTTCAGTTTGCTGCCATATGACTGGTTTCACATTTGTCTCCAGAGATCATAAGGTAAAATAGATCTAAAACAATTGTCATTTATATTTACAATCCCTTTATCCAAATGGATTACTCATTTACCTAGCTCTTATCAATAGCTCTTATCAATTTGTAAATTACAGCGCATAGAGAAAGGTGATATTTCTATCGGGAAAAAATAATTTTGATGTTTTTTGACTCATTCATCGTTTCCTCACGCTTAAAGGTGGTGGAATTATGAGGGAATTAAGTCAAGGTCAGAATACAGCTTATCTGTAGACACAACTCCGCCACACCTCCATTTCTTTGATCTCCACCCCAAACCCTGGCACTGGCTTTTTTCCCATGTGTAAGTTCAAGGTCAGAATACGCGTGGAGAGAAAAGTGCATAAAAAGGAATGAAGTCCCATTTACATGCGCAACTCGGGTCTGAATTCCCCCCTATGTGCATAAATAATCGGCACCTTAAGGACATTGTTGTATGGGAAGTTTTTAGACATTTTGTTTCAAGGTTTGTGAGGTTTTTTCAGTGCAAATTGTGGCTGTTTTAAGAAAACAACCCTTCATGTATAAAAAATGGCATGGTGACCACCCTACTGCATATAGTTACTGAACATCACATGTTCATGTCTTGTTCTCCCTTTAACTTCCTCTTTCTTGCTCTCTCTCTCTCTCTCTAGTCATCCAGTGGAACTCAGCGCCCAGCCTACCCCCAGACTCGGCCCCCGGCAGGTCCTCCTGCCGTGCAGGCTGCAGCATCTCAGGTAGGGTCTAGCTAGCCCGAAGAAGTTAGCCTACCATATAGTGCTAGCCTAAAATGGCTTATCCATTTAGCACTGTTGGCTGCCATTTACTGTGCATCTCTTGAGGTCTGATTACCTTGATGTGTTCGAGTAATAGAGTCTTCTAATGTCAAACATTACATGTCAATATTATACCTGTCTCTTTCTCCGTATTTCTCTCTCTCCCCCTCTCTCCTTGAGCAGGTGGCTGTTGTTGTCACTGAGCCCGATTCCGACCAGGTAGAGGAGGTCCCCACTCCCCCCACCGACCCCCAGGTGGAGCCCATCGAGGCGGCCGAGCCCTAAGCCAAACCCCCTTCATCCTCCACTCTGGCCACTTTTTGGCGGATTATATGGGCAACAGTGTAGGTCTTAATCTGAATTCCAAATCGAGCCCTAGCCCTTACTTCCCTAGACACTTCTATAGATCTGAAACGATTAGATAGGTGGTGGAAATTCCACCCAGCCTACCAGAAGGCAAGGTGAAGCATTGGACCTACATACTGTTCAAACCTATCATATCCTTTCAGATCTACAGGAATGCCAACGGGTATAGGGGCTAGGGGTTGATTGGGAATTCAGATTTTTATGGAGATGGTGTGGTGACCAGCAGGTCAAAGTCCCATGAATGACGTATATAACTGTTTTGCCCTAAATGGAGGCACTCAAACCTGTATTGCCTCAGTAATTATTAAGCTATAGAAAATGGGAAGAAAGTGTAAATTGTAACCAATGTTAGTCATTTTGGGGATGTTTGCAAAGCTACGAGACTATGATTAGAAGTATTATCGTGGATGCAGAAAGTGAAGAATGAAGATATAGGACAGGGGTTCTATGTCTCTGATCCTGAAGAATCATGCAGGTTTTTGTTCTAGCCCAACATTAATATACCAGTTTCAAATAATCAACTAATCAAGATCTTAGTTTCTAACACGGTCACTGCATGGATTGAAGGATGCTACCGAGGGACTAACTGAAGCTAATGTAAAATTGTATACCTTCATTGCTTCTTTTGTTGCATTTTGGTGGCATCACACTTTTTAAGACCAAATAATACAAGCCTTTATCACCAACGTGTCATAATACTGTATAGTGATCTATTCAGGATGCTTCTTGCTTTGCACTTTACATAATATGATTCTGTGCATTGTTTTTAGTCTGGTTCTGCACATTAATGTATTTTGAAGTGAATGATATCACAACTCTAATCACTTACCAAGCTAACCAACCAATGCTGGCAATGTACTGTAGTGCTCATTGAGAGGATTATATAGTGTTAGAATGTAGAATAGTTGTAGATGAACACTGAAGAACACATTAGCAAAAAGAAAGCAAATACTGTTACATGTCACAGCAACATACAGAATATGTAATTGATCCCTACCATAGCCTAACCTTTTCCTAACCTGAATTGTATGGCATTTGTTTGAATATCTACTTTATTTGTTTATCTATTACTTGTTTTTTTTATTGAACAATTTGCTCTAATTACATTTACATTTACATTTTAGTCATTTAGCAGACGCTCTTATCCAGAGCGACTTACAGTTAGTGAGTGCATACATTTTCATCTCTGGCGTATGCTCTAAAATTCCAGACATACTAAAATACTCAAAACAGTAAGAATATTCTGGACTGCCCTTAAAATAATAAAATGTATGTCCATTCGACATTTTAGCCAAAAGCTAACTGACATTGCTGTACTTGTTTTTGTGTCATTCCGGCCCTTGTTGACCACTGAACTAACTTTTGTAGTTCTTCCTTTTGCGACATCCCAGCACTTGTCGACCACCCTCCACCTCTTTTCATTATAAAGAAAAAGTAACTGCTGTTACTGTAATATTTGTGCATGGTCCACTGATGCCTTGTCCTCACAAGAGGGCAGCATTGTGAATGTGTTTATGTTCTAAAGGTCTGGTTTGCTGTTTATCGACAATGTGTTTGACTGTGCTGTTGATATTGGTGTTTCTGTTAACATGCAGTAAAGTAAGTCTTTCAGAGCATTACTTTTTTTTGTGACCAACTTTTTATTTAGTTATGTCATTTATTTCAGAGGGGGGGTTACAGGTACAAAAACAATCAAATAAATGCATACAAAGATAACCCAAACCCATTCCCTCCCCTCAGTCCCTATCCACCCACCCACCCACACCTTCCCCCACCACCCGGAAACCACGTAAGAAACTGTAAAATGGTTAATAATCCAGCAAACCAGTTTCATTTAATCATATGCAATAGACACTGTTTACTACAGCGCCTTCAGAAACTATTCATACCCCTTGACTTATTCCACATTTTGTTGTTACAGCCTGAATTCAAAATGGATTACAAAAAAATGTAATCTCACCCATCAACACATAATACCCCATAATGACAAAGTGAAAACGTTTTTTGTAAGTTTTTTTTTTATGTATTGAAAATGTAATACAGAAAAATATAACTTACATAAGTATTCACACCCCTGAGTCAGTACTTTTTTGAAGCACCTTTGGCAGCGATTACAGCTGTGAGTCTAAGAGCTTTCCACACCTGGATTGTGCAACGTTTTCCTATTATTCATTTCAAAATTCTTCAAGCTCTGTGAAAATGATTGTTGATCATTGCTAGACAAGCATTTTCAGGTCTTGCCTTAGATTTTTAAGTAGATTTAAGTCAAAACTAACTTGGCCACTCAGGAATATTCACTTGTCTTCTTGGTAAGCAACTCCAGTGTAGATTTGGCCTTGTGTTTTAGGTTATTGTCCTGCTGGAAGGTGAATTCATCTCCCAGTGTCTGGTGGAAAGCAGACTGAACCAGGGTTTCCTGTAGGATTTTGCCTGTGCTTAGCTCCATTCTGTTTCTTTTTTATCCTGAAAAACTCCCCAGTCCTTAACGATTACAAGCATACCCATAACATGATGCAGCCACCACTATGCTTGAAAATATGGAGTGGTACTCAGTAATGTGTTGTTTTGATTTGGCCCAAACATAATAATTGCATTCTTTACAGGCTTCCTTCTTTTCACTCTGTCAATTAGGTTAGTATTTATGGAGGACTAAAAGTGCCACAATTAAATAAATAAATACACCATTAAATAATTACTTAAATGTGTCATTAATTAATTAAAATTAGAATTAAATACATAAATGTGTTATTAAATGTGTCATTAATTAATTCAAATACCGATTCATTTTATGTAAAATACATATATAATAATTTCACTATTTACATTTACATTTCATGGTCCTGCGTTGGAGTGCTTCCTGAATTACTTAAAACTGTCAAACTGACCCATCAAAAGTTGGTAGGCGGAACCTAACGCCTGATTGGTTACCCTCTGCATCAAGCCAAGACAAATCAATTCCGGATAATGTCAGCAGGTCCTGCTTCTACATCCTCTGCTAAGTTTAAAATGTCTCTAACCAACTCCCTGGAAAGTTCACGGAGATCCTCCATTGTCTCTATCCAGGTTGGCCTACTCTACTTCAGACCAAAGCAATGGATCAGACTAGATTCGCGTTAGCCCCGCCCACTGACTTTGATGGGTCAGTTTGACAGTTTTAAGTAATTCATGAATCACTGCAATGCAGGATCATGAAATGTAAATGTAAATAGTGAAATAATTATATATGTATTTTACATAAAATGAATCGGTATTTGAATTAATTAATGATACATTTAATTACACATTTATGTATTTAATTCTAATTTGAATTAATTAATGACACATTTAAGTAATTATTTAATGGTGTATTTATTTATTTAATTGTGGCACTTTTGGTCCTCCATAAGTATTGTGGAGTAACAATGTTGTTGATCCATCCCTCAGTTTTCTCCTGTCACAGCCGTTAAACTCTAACTGTTTTAAAGACACAATTGGCCTCAAGGTGAAATCCCAGAGTGGCTTACCTCCTCTCCGGCAACTGAGTTAAGAAGGACACCTGTATCTTTGTAGTGACTGGGTGTATTGATACACCATCCAAAGTGTAATTAATAACTTCACCATGCTCAAAGGGATATTTAATGTCTGCATTTTAGAAGAAAATGCATGTGTGGATAATTGCATGTGTGGGGTACAGAGATTAGTTAGTCATTCAAAAATCAGGTAAACACTATTATTACACACAGAGTGAGTCCATGCAACAAAGGTGTTGAATACTTATTGACTCAAGACATTTCAGCTTTCCATTTTTCATTAATTAGTCAAACTTTAGAAAAACATAATTCCACTTTGACATTATGTGGTATTGTGTGTAGGCCAGTGACAAAAGAAATCAAAAAGTAAATATTTTAAATTCAGGCTGTAACACAACAACTTGGAAAAAGTCAAGGGGTGTGAATACTTTCTGAAGGCAATGTATGTTAATAGGGTCCTCCTCAGATAATCCTTGCATTCATATTGCAAATCCAGTGAGACTGTCATTCTGATTGTGTTGATTGTGAGTCTTTACTAATCCATATGGAAATACACTACGTAGGTCTTTGAAAAACCATGCTCAATGCCAAAGGATACAGGGAAATTAACTTAATTGGACATTCCTTACAGATTATAATAGTTTTTTTGAGACTTTCCATTAATTTGATAATTGAACTACAGGTCCTCTTTGCTTTTCGTGGAAGACAGCCCGTAATTGGGAGAAAAAAACTTTTGATACTGACGTAAGCATCAGCAATTATCACCATTTATTTGATTGATATCAAGATGATATCGATACCAGCATCCTCAATATGCTGCAAATAGTTCCGAACATTCAGTCCTTCGGTACCTACAGTATGTTCAAGCACTATGGGCGTTTCTCCAATTGGATGAATAATGATGGCCATTTAAAGCAACAGCCTGTTGATAAATGATCCACAAATAAGGCCTTTGTTCTGCCCGCCTCTCCCCTTCTGACGTAAATAATCTTCTATAGATATAGCTAGGTGAAGTGGTTGTGGCCTTTGTCAATGTTTTCCCTTAGAAACCAAACATTAAACATATCCCAAAAAACAACAAGTTGGTTTTGCACAGTCGTGCTATCAATAAAGCAAACTCTTTGGTAACACTTTATAATAATGTTCAGTAATAAACTATTTATAAAGGCATTTGCAAACAGTTGGCTGATCATGTATTAATCATTACTCATTCATAAGATGTTTAATGTAGGCCCTTATAAACCATTGACTAATCATTAGTAATGTATTTTAGCAGGCTCTAATCTAAAGTGAGGGCTACAGTGCATTCGGAAAACATTGCAGGTCCATTTACGTTTTCTACTTTTTGTTACATTACAGCCTTATTCTAAAATTGATTAAATTATTTTTTTCACTCATCAATCTACATTTGACATTTACATTTACGTCATTTAGCAGACGCTCTTATCCAGAGCGTCATACAAAATGGTGCATTCACCTTATAGCCAGTGGGATAACCAATTTACAATGTTTTTTTTGTTTTTTTTCTAGGGGGGGGTTAGGGGGGGTAAGGGGGGGTAGAAGGATTACTTTATCCTATCCCAGGTATTCCTTAAAGAGGTGGGGTTTCAAGTGTCTCCGGAAGGTGGTGAGTGACTCGTGAGGGAGCTTGTTCCACCATTGGGGTGCCAGAGCAGCGAACAGTTTTGACTGGGCTGAGCGGGAACTGTGCTTCCGCAGAGGTAGGGGGGCCAGCAGGCCAGAGGTGGATGAACGCAATGCCCTCGTTTGGGTGTAGGGACTGATCAGAGCCTGAAGGTACGGAGGTGCCGTTTCCCTCACAGCTCCGTAGGCAAGCACCATGGTCTTGTAACAGATGCGAGCTTCAACTGGAAGCCAGTGGAGTGTGCGGAGGAGCGGGGTGACGTGAGAGAACTTGGGAAGGTTGAACACCAGACCGGCTGCGGCATTCTGGATGAGTTGTAGGGGTTTAATGGCACAGGCAGGGAGCCCAGCCAACAGCGAGTTGCAGTAATCCAGACGGGAGATGACAAGTGCCTGGATTAGGACCTGTGCCGCTTCCTTTGTAAGGCAGGGTCGTACTCTGGATGTCGTCAACCTTCTTTTCAAAATGAGGATTCATCAGGGAGGAGAAGGTGGCAAAGAGCTTCCTAGGGTTAGAGGCAGATGCTTGGAATTTAGAGTGGTAGAAAGTGGCTTTAGCAGCAGAAACAGAGGAAGAAAATGTAGAGAGGAGGGAGTGAAAAGATGCCAGGTCCGCAGGGAGTCTAGTATTCCTCCATTTCCGCTCGGCTGCCCGGAGCCCTGTTCTGTCAGCTCGCAATGAGTAATCAAGCCACGGAGCAGGAGGGGAGGACCGAGCCGGCCGGGAGGATAGGGGACATAGAGAGTCAAATGATGCAGAAAGGGAGGAGAGGAGGGTTAAGGAGACAGAATCAGGAGATTGGAGGGAGAAGGATTGAGCAGAGGGAAGAGATGATAGGATGGAAGAGGAGAGAGTAGCGGGAGAGAGAGAGCGAAGGTTGCTACGGCACATTACCATCTGAGTAGGGGCATAGTGAGTAGTGTTGGAGGAGAGCGAGAGAGAAAAGTACCCCATAATCACAAAGCGAAAA